ACATTTCACTCTCTTGGAGTGTTTCTTTAACTCCCAGAACCATCTTCATCTCATCTTCAACATTCAGCTTAGGGATTGAGTTTTGGTGAATTCCATTCCCTGCTCTTTCACCTGCGATGCTGTCACCAATGCAGAATGGTCTCTCCATGATTCTTCCTTGCCGTTGTCCATTAACATAAGCTGTTTGAATAAAAATTGTGAAAATTCAACTTTAATTAAATTAAAGCAGCTCACACAGCTTATTAAACAAAGCCTTTTGGTAATTAAAGGAGTACTATTAACAGAAGCGCGTACTTACCAGTTGACACATGGAGGAAGAGTTTGAGCTTTTGGCATTGTGTGGCAAATTTCACTAGGCGATTAGTCCCATTCGTGTTTATATCAAGAGCAACATCATATCTGAATATTAAACACCATTAAATTGAATGTAATTTAATTTTTGTGTAGAATGAATGATCCAGTAAGATCCCAACTCTAGCTTTGGGTGTAGGGTCAACCCCTGGAAAAAGACAGTTTCCATTCCACCATAGATGCATTGTTGTATCTATTAACCAAAACTTAACAAGGAATTTTTAATTTGTAATTTTCAATTGAGTCCATTATATGCCCGAACTTAAAACATTATTTTTAGCTTAATTTGTGATGGGAAGTAATTAAATTTGTGTAACAAAAAAAAATCTGAAGGATTCTTAAAAAAATACAGTATGAATCTCATTATTGCTGACCTTTCATCAAAGGTTGTGTTAGCTGCCGAATTGATGATGATATCCACCTCCATGGCAATCGACTCGGCTGCATGTTCATCCATTCCAAGGCCGGATTCACACACGTTGCCAACGACAGGAACTAACTTGTTCAGCATGAAGGCTTGGTATGAATTTCCATATGTTTGCTTCAGAAACTTGAAGAGCTCAGCATTCACGATCTAGGAATATATACGTATATATAAACACATGAACGATGTAAACCAGAAAAAGAGCAGTATATATGGGACCTTCAGTCTATAATTTGAGTAGCAGCAGACGTACTTCGTTTTTCAATCTCTCCATAGCAACTTCTTTATTGTCTGCCTTGATTAGGATGAATATCTTGTGCACATCAGGTACTGTTCTCAGTATCTTCTCAATTAGAACTGATCATCATGAGATGCAGAAATACAAAAGAACTCAATGGGAAGCAGAAATTCAAGAAATCAAAATCTGAACAGCTTAAGGTATGTTTGGTAGTTTCCGGGTGTTTTTTTTAATATTATATTTATTTATAAATATTACCAAATGACAGGTGAATATTAAATAGGGAGTAATACAGGAGTATACCATACCTTTCCCCAAAAAGCCAGTTCCACCGGTGATGAGGAAAGATTTGCCCCGGAGGAACTTGACAATACCAATGCCATCATCATGCTTCTCAACGAGAGCTGTTGACGAGCTCCCACCATCATAAGGCACCAAATCCTTCATCCCAACATCTGTTTGGACATTCCCGTTTGGCGCCAAAATCAAGCTCCCTGCTGTAGACTCCATTAAAGCCGCCTTGCTTCCTTGCTCCAGGGTGGCAGACCTCTCTGTCACAACATATGATATGTTACTTGATTTCACAACATTGTTTCCACTGCCACCCTGGCTGTGCACCATGTTCCTGACCCTCAATGCTGCTGACTGCATGCGGCATACATCATGCTTTCTGATCAAGAAACAAGAATTACTTCTTCGGACTATGGATGAAGAAGACACAGAAAGAAAAAGAGCCTCCATTTCTTTGCACAGGGTAAAAGAAAAAAATAAAAAAAGAGTGAAAGGAAAATGATCACACACTATTCCAATAGACAAACAGCTAGCTAACCACACACTACTCTTTTCTTTCTTTTTTGTTTTTTTGGGAAAAAAGAAAGTAAAAAACAAGTTAACAAACTTGAATCTATTAATCAAAACATGAGAGTTTGGTTAGATTTAAGAAGGAGATAAAGAGTGAGAGGAA